CTTGAGAATCGAATATTCATACCCGGACTTTACGAAATTTGCCACGTAATGCATCATGACCTGGGAAATCCCCCGATCTTCGGCGCTGAATCCAGCGTAGAGCTGAAATTGGCAAATTATGTTTATAACAAAAAATGAAAAAATGAAAAAATGACGGAAAAAATCCCAGAAACCTATCTGGAAACCTTCATCTCACCTTTTCCTCACTATCACCACCAGCTAACGGATAACCGAAGATGTATGGTATGTGATCACCGGTTAGGGACCCTCTCAAACCCGAGTTCGGCTGCTCGTTCATCCATGAACGAGTTTCGTGGCCAAATACGAACCTGAAATTCAGAAACAAAGAGTTGCAGAGGCTGATTTTAGAAGAAACCCTTGACTGATGCCATGAAGAGTTCGGACTGTTCTAAAGGAGGAACGGTGTTGCCCTGGTTCATCACACACCGTAAGCGCAGGTCTCATCTATTGTGCCCCCTATCCTTGATTTTACCCCTTTGCAATGGTCAGAATTCGAAAAATAGAAATAAAATCTGAATTGATTTGTTAAAATCAACGCTGCCCATGAATAAACACCTAACTCATGTCTGTAGTTAAATCAAAAGCGATAGAACTTCCGACTTATTTTGGAAGCGCTCTTGGTGCACGGCGTATTCTAATGAGATTTCGAAACCGATACTTAAGTATTGACTATAATTTACATGCAGTAACAAAGTGAAAACATATGATTTAGAGATTTCGTGCGCTTACATGAATGTGCTTGCCTCCTTTCGTACTTCATCAGCACTGTGCATCCGAAGAGTTTCAATTAGCGGTGCGGTAAATAGCACATCGTTCAAAACGGCAAGCACACCATTTCGTATGGATTTGGGATGGTCCTGCAAAGAAAACATATACCTGTTGACAAACTACTGAAAACCGTAAGAGTAACTTATGAAACAAATAAGTGATCATTCAATTAATCTACTATATATTCGAGAACTTTTGACGACTGTATTCGATCTTAGAAATGCATTGCTATCCTACATCAAAGGTCAACCTCTGTGAATGCCCATTTTACAAGGATTTTTGCTGTAAATATTAAAAATAAGCGTGGTGGGAAGGAGCGCTACTATTGCCTTCCCTCAACTGGGTATCAAATCCAGATTCTGTATCGTCAGAAACATTCTATCGTAATCATTCAACTATTAGTAAAAAAAAAACTCCGAAGTGATTGAGGACCGAACCAGCTAACTAACCAGAAGTTCAGAAAGATAATAAAATTTTCAAAAAGACTGATATAATAAGAGTGAATTCATTTTTCAAATAACCAAAAAATAATGTTTTTTTTTTGTTTTGAACTCAAGTTAACGGTGATGCTCAACTACACTTAAAATGATTGCAAGATCATTTTGGAGTTCAAATGTTATTCTGATAATGTGATTAATTCTGACTTTACAGGAGCTTCGAAAGATCGATATTGAGAGGTAAAGGAAACAAAAAGGTAAAAATAAGAGGTTTGAGCCTTCAATGTCGATAGAATAAGACTAGTAAGTAATCCAATGAAGTCATACTCGTGGATTTTCCCAGTCGGTGTACTCATTGATGATGGCTGCTAGCAATTCAGTCCTATGGTAATCGTAGAGGTTTCTCACAAGAGTCCTGAAACGTGTTACTTTTTATCGGTTTCTAGTCGGAATACAGTCGGAATTAGGAATTAAAATTGTTATGTCTCTGAAGTAGCGGTACTCTCTCATTCTTGAAGACAACTGGTAGGGCTGTCAGTTACTTACTTTGGCGATGTTTTGATTCAGACTAGTTCTGTGAAGGAACGTTTAAAAACTTGATTGGGACCTGACATTTGTCTACAGTAATCTAGCGAAACAGCTTTGCTTCAAAGCTGTATCTAGCCAGCACGGAAGTAACACAGTACAGATGTTTATGGAATGACTTCGGGCTCCAGAATAGGAATCACCTGAAGATCTTTTGACGCCTTTCCTTCGATAGCCCTGACTTTAAATCCTCGTTTGATAATAGATAGTGAGCAGGATTTGAGGAGAATCCAACAAGCAAGTCGATTTCACGAAATAATGAGCCATACTGAGAGGAGAAGGAGATTCGTGGCGAATTTGGAATTAACTGAAAGTAGATGACATGAATGTATGACCATGACTTTGTTACAACTTGTTAGTTCTACACAATCCCAGCAGAACTCACGAGCATTGACTTGACAACTTCACCTAATTCGTTTAAGACTCATGGGAAACAGTTTTGGAAAAGGGCATTGCTCAGATGAGAGTATTCCCCTTCATGACGGAGCAGACGACTTATTACTACTTAAATGTAACATTTACTGAAGTTGGTGTGAGGACAACCACGTTCGGGACCTCTCTTATAATAGTGATAGTTGTGAGGAATGTTATTGGGACAGCATTTTCCAGTAGAAATTTGGGTGGTTGGAATCGAATTTTGCAAATTCTCGTAGCTTCACGGACCTCATCATCCTCAAACTCGAAAAAAATGTACTTTACAATTCCGTGCATCCGAGTAGGTAGTGCGCCAGTAAAGCCATAAGTTCGAGTTACGCCCCTCAATTTGCCTTTGCAATACACTTGTCGCCTACTACGATTATGATTGGATGCCGTGGGCAATTGACCAATCATAGACATCAAGGCCACTCTCTTTCAATGGCAATGCGCAGGGCAAACTTGTGGGCGGGGCAAGGCTCCCCCTTACAAGTGAGCCCTTTCTATCCGACTATCTTCTCATGTAGGAGAGAAACTTGATCTGATTCGCGACAACTATCAAATTTTACTGTTCATGGCTGATTACACTGCCATTAACAATGCAAGAGGTTTACCAGTGAAGGGGTGCGTTCCGACTTCCGATTCTGACTACTCTTGCTTACTGCAAAGTAAATTTCGTTCGCTTAAATAACAATTGACCATACCTGTCCATCAACAATTGGAGCAAAACCACTGAGGAATGTTGGTATAGTAATAGCATGTACTGCTTTAGTTACATTATCAGCAGAATGGTCCTGCATACAACGTAGTGTCGTATCAACCTGGTCGTTGTATATCGATGATCGATTCTTAGATAGGCACTAAAACGGTCAATCAATCGGTATACTTACTTCTTGTGAAACGTCTTTTCTACAACCAGATACGTGTGAGTGCTCTTACCCCTAGGTTTTCAGCGACTTGAGCGAAGTACTGTTGCGGATTGTGGGCCATAGCCCATGGGGCCAGGGCCGTGCCATCAAGAAGGATGGCTCGCCTAAAGAGGCGACGGCCTGGTTGCGTCAGTGGAGAAGCCATCAACAGTGAGACCAACGAGGCACCTGAACCCCAACCTGAAAAAAAAACACACTCACCTTCGTTCGAAGCTTTCTTATT